TCCGGTACCGGGAACCGAACTCACGACCTTGCGCTTGCCAGGCAGGCGCTTTTGCCGCTGAGCTAAATCCCCAGCCCCTTGGATGAGATGATTTATTGGGATATCATAGTGACTGATAAAGATTGTATAATTACATAAATCATGATACTGAAGAAGAACTACAAGAAAGGATATTAAATCAATATCCGGAATTTGAATCTGGAGTAAAATTTCTTTCAGTACAATTCACTGACTACTCCATGATGGATAGGGTCTTGTGTACTCAACCTGCTATTTTGTAGTTAGCTTGTTTCCTTGGACACAGTCCCACATCTGTGACTCAACATTGGCCTTTCTAGGAAAGTCTGACACTCAGCAGTGGTAATATCCAGATCACCACTGGTACGAAGAAGCCTAAGGATGAACTCATTCTCAACCTTCTTTTTTTTATTAATACATGTCAGCAGTACATAATGATCACATTCATCATGGGAAATTTGTACATGTACTAATACATTTTAATTCCTTTTTTGTTCCCTTTCCCTACCTCCCACCCTTCTCCCTCCATTTGAAAAGCTCTACTTCCATTTCTTTCATATGCCCATCAACAGATGAACAGATACAGAAAATGTGGTATTTATATACATTGGAGTACTACTCTGTCATAAAGGATAAACTGAAGACATTTTTAGGTAAATAGATGCACCTTAAGACCATAATCTTAAATGAAATAAATCAGACACATGCATTTAAAAGTTGCATTGTTTCTCTTGTGTGAGAAACCACAGTATAAATAAGGAGTAAAATAGAGGATAGATTTTAGGAAGTAGAAAGAACTCTTTCAAATGGGAAGATGAACAAGAGATGGGGTGAGGGGAGAAGAAAGGTGAAAGGGATTGTCAACTTTCTCTTTAATTGCACAATCACTTGGTTGATCTTGATAGTTCTAGAAGTTCTGTTTATCTGTACAATACTAATAGTATCTCCAGCTAATCTGACCCAAATATACTGAAAACTCTGATTTATTCAAGTCTTTGATACTCTTTTGCACATCTTCCTTTAAATTTTCTAGTGATTTCATCAGCCTGAATGCTAACATTGCCTCATTCATTAGCAAATCTGAGGCAATCACGTAAGAACCCTATCATCTTAAATCCCCTTACTATTCACCGAAGAGGAGGAATTAGATACTTGACTGATGGGTGAGATTGATCTCTTCATGTTTTGCCCGTTAGTGAGTAATGTAAGATTTGCTTTGCAGGTCTAGAATCACATTATTCAATTAAATTAAGGATAATAAAGCTTCTATGTCTTTTTGTCAATTTGTCCAGAAAGAAAAACTGTTATATACTGAATTTCTAAAATCACAGCAGCTTGTGCCACAGGTCAGACACATCAAACATTACACAAATAGAATTGGAGAACCAAAAAAGCGTATGTAAGATTAAGAAGCAATGAGTATTAACGTTTCAGTAGATTTTTAAATTTAGCAAGCTGGGCTTGGGGATAGGAAACTCCCAACCTGAACGACATCTGAGACGAGTTTGTGATGTCTAAAATGGAAGAATGAATTTTAGGAACAAAGGAGGTTAAGAGCAGAATATATTGAGGGAACGAAGCTTCTGTCCAAGAGAGAGACAGAAGGGGCCCCGAGTGGGTTGCCAAGGACCTTTCCTTTCCCAGGGACTTTATAGAGCAAAACCACCAGGTGAGGCGGGTCCCAGATAGGAGTAAAATGGGAAACTACAAGGTGGGCATGAGGTGGGACAAAACTATGGTCAGCCAATACGATTACAAGTATAACTGTTCAGCTAAAATTGATTAAATCGGGATCAAATGGGAAAGCCAGTCACCTAGCAAGTGGGCACGAATACACAACAGAGGCTGTTCCTGTAAAGGGTTGGGTCAGGGGCTCTTCAAGGTGATCGCTACCTATTTAGAATATCAATCCCTGATGGGTACCTCTGGGGAGGTATGTGGGTGCATTTGCTTTGCCTTGAAGTCTGGCCCACAGCAAATATGTCTCCCCTGTCTTCCCCGCTGGCTCCTTCCAGGGCCTGGCCCTGTCTGACCGCCTATAATATTTCTATCTAACTCAGCTGTCTGTAACAGTACTATATGAAAAGTAGATGCACAAAGCCGGATTAGGTAGGCTATTATATTTTACGCAAGGGATGATCCTGAAGGTGGCAAGAGGAAGGACCAATGCTTAGAAATAAAATTTCGTAAGACGTGGCGATACCATTTGTAACTGAGAGCGTGCTCTTTGCGCTTCTGATTACAAATAAGCAAGTGTTTTAAATTGGTAGTAAAATTAATGGAAAAGGCCCATTTGATTCCAGACACTGGCACTTTTACGTGAGAATCCGTGGCGTGGGCTTGGTTATTTCCTTACGTAAAAGTCCTGTAGTATTTCCGAGAGCTCTTCGCACATTAGAGAATTCCGAGGAACGGCCCTCGGGTCCCAGTCACCAGAGCTCGCGTTTGGGAAGCCTAAGTTGCCACGGGAAAGGCAGAGGCCGGCTGTCACCGCCTGTGAGGCAGCCCGGAAGCCACAGGCACCAGGTCCAGGATGCAGTCCCGCTCACCAAGCGCTTCCCGGAAGCTGGGATCGAGCCTTTCCAGGCGCTACGGTGGCCCGAAAGGTCTTTGGTAGGCCGCAGAAAGTCAGTGGGGAAGAAAAGCGTGACGCGCCGCGCACTTCAGGTTGTACAGTGTCTGGTCTGTCACGGCTCGCAAATACGGGTTTCGCTTCTGTCCGGTGTTTCTCAAAGAGGCGCTGATTTCCTAGCAAGGCTGTCACTCAATGAGCTCTTCCGTAGGGGCAGCGAGGGGAGAGCCCGCTTCCGCGTTGTCGTTGGCTCTCGGTCGGTCGCGCGTCCGGGGCGGGACTTGGGCGCCTTCGGATTGCATCAGCTGGGCCCGCCGGTCCGCGTGACGCACGCGCCGCGTCCCTGGTCCGGGCCTCCGCCCTTCTCCCGGCAGTCCCTGTTGTCTTTCCCTAGTTCTTTGGTGTGTGAGAAGGCAAGCAGCCCTTCAGAGAAGATGGGAGGCGAAGAGAAGCTGGTGAGTAGGCTTAGGCTCGGGGGGTGGACTGGAGCTTTCCTCGGTGCAGGAAGCAGCGGGACCACGGGTACTTCGGGGCTCCACGGCGTGTGTATGTGTGTGTGTGTATGTGTCTCGGGGGTACTTTGGGGGTTCCGCGGTGTGTGTGTGTGTGTGTCGGGGGTACTTCGGGGCTGCAGAACCGCTCGGTCTCCAGGTCCTTCCTCGCGCAGATGTAGAAACTGAGACCGTGGGTCTGAGAAGCCCAGACAGAATTGGAGTCCACAGGTCAGAACTCCCAGGTTTGTGTTTTTCGCCCGCTTTGCGCGGGAAGAATATGGCAGAATCTTATTTATTCTTAAAGTCTGGTGGAATTAAAGAGCTGCACTTTAGGAAGGCACAACTGAATTTCCGAGGTCGTGCTTAACTTGCGCAGTTGTTCGGGTGATTGGCCAGATGACCCCATCTGACACTCCATGGAAATTCCATGTAGGTGCTGCTTCACATTTGTACATGCAGATCATTTCACCTTTAAACTTTCCCTTTGGTGTCATCCGTGTTTTAGGGATATCACCTAGGTCAGTTTCATACTGTCCAGTCAAGTGTTTTTACCGTGAATAAATGTTGAACAAGTATTCATTCTGTTCACACAGCTGGGCAGTGCAGGTAGCAGGATGAACAGGACTGAATCATTTGTAGGGAATTGCAGAAGAAGCACTTAATTCTGCTCAGGAGGATTCCCTTAGATTGAGTTTCAGAGAGTGAGTGCACTATGTAAACCAGGCAGGGCTTCCAAGGAAAGGTAGAGAAAAGGCCGTGAAAAGGCAAATAGATTGAGTTGTGTCCCTGGTAGAATTTGAAATAGACAAGGCTGAAGGGGGAGGAACAGCGATTGGAAGGATACTTGTATTCTTCACTTGAAAGATTTTAAGAAACGCAGCCTGTGGATTATGATTGTAAAAGCCACGTGGGCACTGAGGCGGAGTTGCATTGAAATACTGCGGTAGTCCGGGTGAGAAGCTGTGAGGTCTTCATTACTCCCACAGGTCCGGTCACCTAGTACATCCTTTTTGTGAGTTCACCCCTCAGGGAATTGAATGTGGGAAATGCATATGCAAATGTGTATACATTCTAAACTGTAAATTTAATTTGTAAGGTTATGCATAGACTTTTTCACTGAGAAAACGTACCTACTGTTTTGTAACTAGTTTACTTTTTTTAGCTTAATAGGACATAGTAAACAAGTTTCCATCTCTATAAATATTCTGCTGTATTATTTTTCTTTTCTTTTTCTGTTTCCTTTTTCTCTTGTACAGGACTGGGATTTGAACCCAGTGCCTTTATTTCCAGCCCACACTTATGCCATTAATTGAAAGTGATGTTTGTGTAATAAATACATAATTTCTCCACTTTACCACTGAGCTGCCCCCTCAGCTCCCTTCTGAATAATAATTACACAATACCTAATATGTATTGAGTGCTAAATATGGGCCTGGCACTGCTGTATAATGCAGAATTATGTATAATGCAGTATTATGTGCATTAACTCGTTCAGTCCTCACGGTAACTCTTATGAACTGACTTCTGTTATTGGAAACAGTTACAGGAACAGTAAATAATTTACTTCAACATAATCTGTTGCCAATACTCCTAAACTTCCCTCCCATCATCTACCCTGGGATGAGTCATGGATTTGCTATGCTCTGCTGATACTTCTCTCAGGAAGGTGATTATGTATTCTCTTCATAGTTCAGCTTTCTGTCCCAACTTTGGTGTTGAAACTCTTCTGTTTCTTTTTAAACCTGCACAGGTACACCTGTAATTAAATGACTGCTTATATGTATGAAATGATTGGTTATTCATCTGTTAAATATGAAAGGAACTATTGAGTCATATTTTTTAACTTAGTTTAATTTTAAATTACACAAGTAACTAATTTTTCCTTTGGTTGTGGTACTAGGGATTGTGGTACTAGGGATTGTGGTTCTAGCTCTTCAACTGGGCATGCTTTATAAGATTTAAAAGACAGCAGCCATTATGTTTATCAATGATAATGAAAAAATAGGCAGTGGAGGCAGGGATGTAACTTCTTGGTAGAGCACTTTCTTGAGGCCCTGGGTTTGATCATTAATACCAAAATCAGTATAAAGTGAAATATGTGGTAATTGAAAAATGAAGTACTGATACGTCTGACAACATGACGATCCGGAAATCATGCTAAGCACAAAGTGCATGATTCTGTTTTTATGAAATGTCCAGAATAGGCAAATCTGTAGAGCTAGAAAGTTCAGTAGCTGAGTGTGGTGGTGCCTATAGTCCCCCCATAGTTGACAGCCTGAGACAGGAAGATCATGAGTTTGAGGCCAGGCTGGGACTGCATCACAAGACTCTGTCTCAAAAGAGGAATGAAGAAGGGAGAGCAAGCAGAGGGGAGGGAAGGGAAGAGGAAGAGGACGGAATAGAGAGTGACACTAATGGGGATGGGGCTTTGTGGGGAGGGGACACAGTGCTGTAAAATTGCTTATGATGGTTGCACAACTGGGAGTGTACTAAAAACTATTGAGTTGTGCATTTTGTGTGGATGGATTATGTCAATAAAATTGCTCCTTCACAACACTGGTTCAGGACTTACTATTTTAAAACTTTTTGTGACTATACTCCCTTCTAGTTAAAGCCTGTGTATTCTTCTGATAACTTTCAGTACTGGCTTCTGTGTGACTCTTAGTCTGTCTTAACTTGTATCACTTCCCAAAACTTCTGCGTTAGTCCTCCTAGTTTGCTTGCTTGCTTGCTTGATCGCTCCCTTTCTTCCTTCTTCATCTACTTGCCTGCCTACCTCCTTTATTCATCCCCTTCTTCCTTTTTTAGCTCAAAGTCTCAGTCCTGCCTCAGCCTCCAAGTGCTGTGATTACAGATGGTCCATGCATCCGGTTCTTTATTTTTTAACATTCTGACCACAAGCTGTGTACACTTAGAACACATTGCCTTCTTCTCAAAATCCAGCCTGTTGAGACGTGAGCGGTACCCTCTATCCCTTATAGCAACTTGCTGTGGTCTTTGCTTGTTTGACATCTAATCATAGTGTTGCTATGGTGTTCTCTCTTGCAGAAGTTTCTCATACACTTAGGTCTTAGTTTCCCTGGAGAGGTTTTGTTTGGGTTTTACGTTTATTTCTTTCATAAGGTTTAACAAAATACTATGAGCATATAGTCTCTTGGTAATTCTTGTGGAATAGATAGGCCTTGCATTTCTAGAAACTTACTGAGTTAATTGCATGCTTTTGTGGCTACATATTTAGTACAAGTCCAAGTAAACTTAAAGCAAGAGTCAGGATTAGTTAAAATAAATGAAATGTGAAGAATTAAAACACTTCATTAACTCCTCTCTACTTTTTTAGGGCTTATCTGTATTGTAAATTAAGTTGACTTTGCCAGTAGTAAACTTTTGCAATCTTTTAATGTCAGATGTTCATTTTTTTTTTAGCAGATGCTAAAATAACATTCTAAAACCGGCTTGGGGATATCACAAGGGGGGTGTCCAGTTAGATTAAAATATAAAACTTTCTTCTTTTTTTTTTTTGCTTACTTAGGTAGATGCTGGTGAGGAGAAGCGAAAAGAAGGAGGCAAGAAGAAGAACAAGGAAGGATCTGGAGATGGAGGCCGAGCAGAGGTAAAAGTTGTTGTCACAGAAGCTGTTATTAAAGGTTGACAAGCAGTAGGGAATTGACTGTCCTAGACTTACTTTGTGTGTAAGGATTCTAATGGTTTATGTAAGGTTGGTGAGATGACATTAGATAGAAAACTCAGGGTCTTCAAAGAGTGAGGAAAGATTAGTCTAAGAGGGGAAAAAGATTGCTATTGCAAGGGGAAAACAACTAGTGAGGTAATCTAATTGTGGGGATAGTTAATTAAAAATCAGAGAATGAACGTTAGAGAGAAAGGCACTAGTAATTCATTAGGTCAGATGTTAAGGGATAGAGACTTAATGTTTGAACTTATACTGACTACAACAGAAATCAAAAAAAATCTAATTCCTTGACCTCATTTTCATTTGGACCTATCAAGCCAAACCCTGTTGAGGTCTTTCAAATCTAGAGAAATGCTTTAGTTCCCTGAGCTCTCACTGAAGGGAAATAGAATTTCAAAAGCCAGTCCAGAACCACCTAGTTCCTGTGTATTTTGTTTTAAGAGGCAGTTAAGCTTGTCTTTCTACTCTATTTTTGACTTTGAGCTGTTGTGAACTATGCTTCACTTTTTGCCTTGGTTATTGCAGTTGTTTTATTGGAAACTCTTAAAATGCCAGATATAGAAGCATAAAGGATAGGCTTTTTAAAAGTAGTACAGTAAACTGACTTTAAAGAGCTGTTTTTATAAATACTGTAGTTGCTAAATTTATTGTTTCCATTTACTGACAGATAGCTTTATAGGTGATCGAGTGTAGTTTTAGTTTCATTCATCCCTCATTCATTATGCCCACTGTAACTGTGAGGGAAATGGTTGATTGAGAATTTTAAGCTTTCTGAGTGAACTGTAAAGTGGATGTTTTAAAGTTTCATTGTTTGTACTTTCAGTATAGTTGTACATGCTGTTTTATCATAGTTTGGGAAATAGCCTTGGAATAGGTGGAAAAGGCTACAATTTAGAAGACTCTTCTGAGCAGAGAATTTTAAGTAGGACATGTGGTGATACATGTTTTAAATGACCTGTGTTCAAACAATGTGCAGTGCTGTGTCTAAGACCTTACTTCCTTCTCTGGGCTCTCATTGCTGATATTCTTGTCTTACTCCCCTTAATAAGGGCAAAATGCAGGTCTTCCTCACCTGTGCATTTCTAGAACCTGGTACAGCGTATTTGCTCAGTGAATGTTGAAAAAATAAGTTTGTTATGAAATTCTTTGATTGGGAAGTGCCAAGCGAATATGGAAATACACGGAAGGGTCACATGGGGGAGTAGAAGCAGCTAACGGGCTTTGTGCTGCGGGGTTTGGGTCATGGTTGTAGAACGATGGGCTCACAGCTGTTAATTAATTCATTAGTTTTCACCATCAAGGACCCTTGTGGTAACTGGATGAAAACTTCCAAGGAACAGCTGAATGCGTAAAGGAAGAGAGGAATAGAATAGGCAAGAATTATAAAGATACCAGACATCTTTTATTTCAGAAGATAAAAATAGAGGAAAAATGATTTTCATGAGAATATTTTATATTAGGAAAAAATAAAATGCTATTTCTCATAAGAACTAATTGTTATAAGATGTGGAAAAATAGAGCAAATATTTATTTTTTAATGTTGATGGCAGGTTTTTCTATGGTATTTAGGAAAGTGTTAACCTCTGAGGTAGACACAGTAGATAATCATGACCACCAGAATCCATGATACTCAACCTAGGTGGATAGTGATTCTATAGGAATGTGTGATCAATTCTTATTTTTCTATTAAGTTAGTTTCTGACGGATTCAGTACTATTTTTTTCAGATTGAATGTGTTACCTTGATACACAGTGGTCACTCAGTATCCACAAGGAATTGGTTCTAGGACTCCTGAGAGCACACACAATCTGGGGATGCTCAAGCCTCATATATAGAATAATGTAGCTCATTGTGGTCTTATGTGCCTTTAGCCTTAGCTGCTGGGGAAGCTGAGGCAGGACAGGGGAATCATTTGAGCCTAGAAGTTTGAGGCTAGCACTGGCAAGGTATGAGACTCTACCTCTTAAGAAGAAAGTGATGAGGTATTTGCATAAACCCTACCACATCCTCTCATATATTTTAATATCTGTAGATTACTTATACCCCATACACTTAAAACACTGTAAATAATCACCGTATTGTACAAGAAGTAATAACAAGGAAAAAAGGTCTGTACATAAAGATGTTCAGTAAAGATGCAAATCTTATTTATTTATTTATTGAGGTACTGGGGTTTGAACTCACAGCCTTCACACTGAGCTACTTCCCTAGCCCTGATTTGTTTTTTTTTTTTTTTTTTTTTTTTTTGGTACCCGGAATTGATCTCATGACCTTGCGCTTGCCAAGCAGGTGCTGCACCGCTGAGCTAAATCCCCAGCACCCCCAGCCCCGTTTTATTTTGAGACAGGGCCTCACTAAATTGCTTAACCTGGGTTTGAACTTGTGATCTTTCTGCCTTGGCCTCCCCAGAGTGCTGGAAATATGCACCAGGCTCCAATTTTTTTTAATATTTTCAGTGTGCAGTTGGTTAAATCTGACGATATGCAACTCACTGATAAGAGGGCAGACTATAGGTAGAATTTTAGTAGTAGTTATCACAATCAAAGAAGTGATAAACATTTATTTGAATGTCTTTCTTACAGCTAATCAGTTTATGGACTTATGAAGATAGATCATAGTAAAATTAAGCCATCTCAACTTTGGTTTCTTATGTAGCTGTTAATAGCCATGTTATAATCATATGAAGATAATAAACACTGTAAATATTAATGGTCTGTTTTATGATCACAGAAGTACTACTTGCTTTTTTGAAATGTTGCTATATACAGGACAGTGATGGCGAACATTTTAGAGACGAGTGCCCAAACTGCAGCCCAGAATCCGCTTATTTATTCCAAAGTGCCATCACTGCAATTAATGCTGAATATAGTACGAGGTTTTAGTTTAGAAAAAGCAACTCGTACATTAACATCCTTTGTCTTAAAAGAAGAATCACAAGCATATCATAGATTCACCACTACCAGACTAGACTTTGAGACAGAAGAGGAGGTTATTTTTGTTGTCTTTTTCTTTCTCATAGTTTTGGGGTCTCCTGAGGTGGTTTTGTATAAAATATCTGACTTAATTTTATCAACTATAAACTATGTATAGATATATAGAGACTATATATCAATTATATTGGACTTTTTCATTAAATATTCTGGGAAACAAAATCATTATAACTTCTTTAAATTTGATAAATATTTTCTTCAAATGGGATCCCCTAAGCCAAATAAATTTATAAATGATGGTGAGTGGACATACACATTGACCAGCTGCACATATTATCCTCTGAAAAAGACTGAAACAAAATAGAAAAGCCAGTTTTTGTTTGCAGTATTGCTTAAAGATATACTTAGAAGATCATTTAGTTAGGAAAAGAAACAGTTAAAAGAGTATGTTAGAAGAGAAAAACTTACTTAATACAAGTAATAATACTTTACAAATTGTCAGCTTAGGTTGTCAGCAATCCAGGTATTTGTTATTCATGCTTTTAAAAAAATTTAAGTAAAAATTACAAGAAGATGACATTTAATTCTTTTCCTCTCACTTAGAACCAGTTTAAAGTAATTTCTGGTGATTTTTGCAATGTGTTCCCTGTGTTGAATCAGTAATCTCGGGTTTTTATATTGTCTGTTTTTATTTCCTTCTCTTTTAAAGGAATAAGTACTTACTGATTATTTCCTAACTTGTTATCTTGCAGTTGAATCCTTGGCCTGAATATATTAACACACGACTTGAGATGTATAATAAACTAAAGGCAGAACATGATTCCATTCTGGCAGAAAAGGCAGAGAAAGATAGCAAGCCAATTAAAGTCACCCTGCCTGATGGGAAACAGGTTGACGCGGAATCCTGGAAAACGACACCATATCAAGTTGCTTGTGGAATTAGGTATAAGCCACGTCTGTCTTGCCCTTCTGTGGTTTATAACTTAACAAAACTTTCTTGTATTGTTTCTGGTTTTAGTCTCATAATATTTTTATGATGCATGTAATGTTTTTACTTTACCTTTCTTGAGCTTTTTAGAGATGAAAGTGATATGGAGCTTTATAGTTAAGTCAAAGTTAGTTTCTGAAGGAATTTACCTTTTCTGTCGGAATAAAGGAGTTTATATTATTAGTTAATCGTTCTGCCTTGATCATAAATGCTACAAAGCCAAGTAGATGATGTTTTGTCAGTTTTGACCTAAATTTTGAAGCTAAAAATGAAGGTAGGTTGTCTTACATTGACATAAAATAAGCTGTATAAATCCAAAGAAGGACCGTACCCAATCTTAAAATTTTAACTGGGTACTCCGGGTGTGGGGGCACACACCTATAATCCCAACACTAGGAGGGTGAGGCAGGGGAATTGCAGATAAGCACAGACTGGGCAACTTAGCAAGGCCATGCCTCAAAAATTTAAAAAAAGAAACAACTTACTGGATTGGGTAGAAATTATTTGCAGTAACTGAGAATTAGATGCATACTAGATAATAGAGTAAAAGCTTTCTTAATTTGATTTGATGCAGTCAGTTTATCAAAACATGATAAAGTTAGAGATGCATAAATTTATATGTGTGTATATGTATGTATATGTATATATCTTAAACCATGTATCAATAGATTATGGTCATAGCCTATTTTTGTATAGCCTAAAAATGAAAAGTGTTTCTTATAATTTTAAGTGAAGGAAAAAAACTACAAAAAATAGGCAACAGAGACATCGTATCCCTTTACAGAAAAAGCTTACCAATGTGTCATATTAAAATTTACATATGTTAACTTTAAAGTATATAAATGTATGTTTTATTCACTAATCTTATGTCTGTATATGGGGCCAAGATTTTTTGGAACAGTGACTGCTAATACTTTTCACATTAACTTGACATACTTGAGAAGCAGCTGCAGTCTTGTGTGCAGAATCCTTCCAGATTTTTGTGTAGTTGTTTCAGCCACATCTAAATTGACAGTATTTTTTTCATGACTTGCCTTTATCAAGCTTTGCCAAATATTCAACTTGGTTTCATAAAAACTATAATTCCCTTGTTATGTTATTTATGTATGTATATTTATTTTTAAATTATTACGATAGCATATTGAGTTGAACCACCTGAAATCACCATATGAATTGCCATAAATGGTGATTAGCAATTCCATTTCAGCCTAAGCTATAAAATATTATTTAATATAAAATAATGGCATTCTGAATTTTCAGAATTTTCTAGTTATATTCTTGGTACATTTTTTGGTTTATTGTTTTTTCCATTTTCTTTCAGAAAAATACACACATGTATAAAAATATATAGAGCACTAATATATGATAAATATGGTAGAGTTTTTTGTGCTCAAGTTAGGCTTTGTGTGAGAAGAGATTATTACTGAGATTTTTGTGTTTTCATGTTGGTGTGTATATTTTTTCAAGTCAAGGCCTGGCTGATAACACTGTTGTTGCTAAAGTGAACAAAGTTGTTTGGGACCTGGACCGGCCTCTGGAGGAAGATTGTACCTTAGAGCTTCTAAAATTTGAGGACGAGGAAGCTCAAGCAGTAAGTTTCTATTTAGTGTTCACTGAATTTAAAGACATGACCTGTACCATGTAAGTGGAAAATGTGGCTTTCAATATATTCTGACTCATCTGAATGACCACTTCAAAACCAGATATGGCCGTTCAATTTCAGTGTTCCTGCATTTGTCCTGTGTTCTTTTTATTGGGTTGTGGAGTCCAGTTGTATATCCTTGTTTGTTTTGTATATCCTTGTTTGTTTTGGGCCAGTAAGATAAAAACAGATGTAATTTGTAAGTCAGGTTCAGCAGCCAATTAAAGACCAGCACATAGCATTTGGGACATGGGGCTGTGGGCAGAATGACTCAAAAAAGCCTAGGCTATTTTATTCAGTGAGACAAACACACTAAGTAGCAGTTGTTTTCAGGGAACAAACTCCATTCTGTATGATTAATGATGCTCATAGAAATATCATGTCACAATTAAAAGCTTTTCAGTTTTGGCTATAGGTAGAATCACCCTGTAATTAATAGATTTTTAAATTTGGACTTTTGTTTATTGGATTTATTTGTAACAAATTTTCTGACAACCATATTAACTCTACCTTTATATACTGAGACTGAAACTATCTATTTTTCTTTATATTTTCAGGTTTATTGGCACTCAAGTGCTCACATCATGGGGGAAGCCATGGAGAGAGTCTACGGTGGATGTTTATGTTATGGGCCACCAATAGAAAGTGGATTCTATTATGACATGTACCTTGAAGAAGGGTAAGTCATGTAACTGAAGAGAAATGAGATCTCAGTGACTGTGGGACTAAAAGTTATTTTTAGAGTTCTCAGCAAAGGAGGAAGAAAGATATAAAGTTCATTTCTTTCTTACCAAATGTTCAGATCGTTAAACCTTGAAGTATTGCAATTTACTTGCAGTAATGTAGGCTCTAATGAGTTCTAGTTCTGGACTGGTGGAGCCCTATAGTACATTGGAAAATAAAATGAAACTGATGCTACCCTTTTCTTCAAATCTGCTGAGAGAGTTAGGGAGAGAGGTTGCTAGTGGGAAAGGTCACCATGATGAACCAAGGTAGAAGCCACTGAAAATATTAAAATTTATGACAAATACTTATTTTAAATTTTTAATATATGATGAAAGGGTATAACTTAAGTATTCTAAAGAAACATCTTTCAAAGCCATAGTGTGATTAGAATAGAATGTAGAGAGATTTATACTTTCTTGTCATTCAGAGGTGTTTCCAGCAATGATTTCTCTTCTTTGGAGACTTTATGTAAGAAAATCATTAAAGAAAAACAAGGTTTTGAAAGATTGGAAGTTAAGAAAGAAACTCTACTGGAAATGTTTAAGGTAAGTTGAACGATAACTAATGACCTCCACTTTCATTTGTTAATATCAGTTGAAATAATTTTTTTATGACATGAAATAATGGCATGTTTACATACATTCCATGTTCTAATAAATGTACTCTGAATTACATTTTAGTTATAGTACTTAGAAGTAAAAGTTAAGGGAGTTTTAAAATTCTTTTCCCTATTTTTAGTACAACAAGTTCAAATGCCGGATATTGAATGAAAAAGTCAATACCCCAACTACAACGGTCTATAGGTGAGAATAACAAATGTCATTAAATGCAACTGGTAAATGTATCAATTGGTTTTTGTTAAAATTCTTTTCATTTCGTCTTTAGGTGTGGCCCCTTGATAGATCTCTGCCGGGGTCCTCATGTCAGACACACTGGCAAAATTAAGACTTTAAAAATACACAAAGTAAGTAATGTAACTTTAAAAACTATATAAAAATATGTTTGTCTCTTGACAGGTATGTATATGTTTCAGCTTTCATTGGTTTCTGTTTTTGCCATTTGTCTCTTGCATCTGTAAGATGATTTCTGTGCTCTCTTCTAAGTGGATGTTTTATATATGTGTATAAATGTTTATACTGTCGCTTTCTCAACCTTTGCCACTAGCCAGCACATGGAGAGGGTGGGGTGATTCACAATGTCAAGCAGTTATGTGTTGTCCTGGCTCTAAAAGTTTGGAAACTTACTATGGGACTCTATGCTTTTCCCCTTGTGTTTCTGAATGATTACCCAAGTTCTTAATACAGCTGAACCTGTCAGTTTTATACTTGTTCATAAATATGGTGATTATTAGATTGTACTTTAAGTCATGAGAATAGTTAACCCATTTCAAGGCATTTTTCTTGGTTTATTTCCATTTTTGCTTACTTTGTGTGGGATGCTCTTGCAGTAGTGTTTGTGGAAGTGTGGTCTGAGCAAGTATTGAGGGAAACACTAGCTTCTGTTGCAGAATGAGTCCAATTACTCTAGGTTTCAAAGCAGTGCAAGACATTTAGTATGTTTGTGCCTTTTATGCCATTTTTCTTGTCAAAAAGATTAATATGTCTCATGTGGTGGCACATGCCTGTAATCACAGTACTTGGGAGGCTGAAGCAGGAGAATTGTTGAATTTGATACTAGCCTGGGCACATAGCAAGATCCTGTCTCGTTAAACCTACTAGTAGCAGTAGTTATAGCAGTAATAATGATAATGATAATGATGATGATGATAATAATGGAAAGATAGGGAGGGGAGAGGAGAGGAGGAAGGTTAGTACTAATTAGGATGAGTTTCCCATATAAGGTACATATCAGAAATAACATCTCTTAAGTGAAATGTTTACGGATTTGAATGTTGTGTCATGGAAGATCCTTGTTTTCAGAATTCCTCCACATACTGGGAAGGCAAAGCAGATATGGAGACTCTCCAGAGAATTTATGGCATTTCATTTCCAGATCCCAAAATGTTGAAAGAGTGGGAGAAGTTCCAAGAAGAAGCTAAAAACCGAGATCATAGGAAAATTGGGAGGGTATGTTAAAGAACAGTGATGTGTCTAGATTGCCTTAATTTTTTCATTTGAAACCTAACTGGGTTAAGTACATACTGGAAATTTCATTTGAAGAGATGCTCCAGATTTCCAGTCCCTGTGGTGTCATGTGCTGCATGAGCTATAAATACTTACTGATTATTCACATAATCTTTTTGATTATTACTTTTATAAGAGAGTGTTGTTGATCTGCAGTTCTCTATAAAAACTAGAGTAGCATTTTGTAGAGCTGAAGAACTAGACTTTTGAAACTGTCTAGTCTCACTATACTGATATGGAACTGAGTCCCAGAAAGATTAATTGGCTTGTTTCATAACTGTTCACAAGTTACTGATGTATTGTATCATTTTTTCCACCTATTGTAAATGTCCTCAGCTGGAAATTAGATTTGATAAAAATAGCTGGGGATGTAGCTCAGAGGCACAGCACCTACCTGCAAGTGCGAGGTCATGAGTTCAAATACCAGTACCAAAATAGGTACCTTCCTAATATTGGGTTCCTAATACTGGGTTCCAGCTCTGAGGAAGATGGCATCTATTGGTGGATTTGGGTTATAGTTGGGGTGGGACAAGGGTATAGGACAAATTTTTACTATGACTCACTTGAGAAGCTAAAACTATGAAAACTGTTGAACTGAGTTCCATGTTACTGTTGGATAAACCTGACAGGATTAGGGCTGTTAACAGGCAGGGAATGAATTTGTACTAAGTAATCAACTGCAGTTGTGCCATTAATTTGTACTCCAAAAACGTTGACATGGTTTCTTTTTATTTAGGATTAGCCCTACTTTAAACTATTGAACATTGTAACCATTGTTTGAACTCAGGAATACTGAAGCTAATGTTGATTATCTTATATATATAGTCTTTTTAATATTATATACTGTATTATATTTTTAATATTATATAATATCATATATGTATATATATAGTAATCTTTTGCTCTTTTTTTTGCCCAGGACCAAGAACTATATTTCTTCCATGAACTCAGCCCTGGAAGTTGCTTCTTCCTGCCGAAGGGGGCCTATATTTACAATACACTCATGGAATTCATTAGGGTAAAGTATGTTTTTTTTTTTTTTTTTTCTGAAGGTTTAGGGTATAAGATGCTTTGATTAAAAAGGTCTGATAAAAGGTAAGATAATCTGTATTTGAGAAGACATAAAATGATAAACTGGAAATTGGGGGTCTTCTAAATTGTTAAAAATTATTTATTCCTAATATGTAACTTTGTCCATACACGTGGAAATATATAGAGAGAAAACCTGGTGATCTTGAAGTGGGACCTATAGGCCTTTACATACATAGCAGATTTGTGCTGTTTTTGACCAAAAAGTTTATATTTTCCTTAAGAATACAAGTTAGTCTTTGTGTTTCTTTTTCTTTCTAAATTAGAAAATATTTCAAGTGTACCTACTGTATAGCCAGTATGAGTACTAGCCACGTAATTTAACATATATTTACATTGGGCTATATTTGCTTTATTATTTTTTAAGATATAAAATGTATGTGTACAGTTAAGGGGGGAAAAAACCTGTTGGAGTCCCATTTTGATCCATTGCCCCTTTTTCCCTAGAGAAGCTTCTGTTTGCAAGTTGCCATGGATCCTTTTTGTTCATTTCATTTACATCTACCTCATATATGTACCCTGATGTATGTGTTCGTGTGTCAGTCTGCATTAACTGTGACCTTTTCTAGATACATACAAATCTACTTTATGTTCACTTGTTGCATATTATTTTTTATATACCTACTACAATGTGCTTGTGTTTTTCATTGATGCACAGATACAAATTTTAATTTTCTGATATTGATTGCCAACCATTCTACAGTAGCCTTATTTTCATAAGCCTCTTCATGTTCACCTGTAAGAGTTTCCTCTTGGTATATACCACAGGTGGAATTTCTGAGTCATGGTGTTTGTGTGTTGTGAACTTCACAGGATAGTGTAAAATTGGTCTTTAGATTTTAACTCCCTCTGGAAAGATGAGCATTGGTTTGTCTGCATGTCTGTCTGGTTTGTTTCCTAACAGAGTGAATATAGGAAAAGAGGATTCCAGGAGGTAGTCACCCCAAACATCTACAACAGCAAACTCTGGATGACCTCTGGCCACTGGCAGCACTACAGCGAGAACATGTTCTCCTTTGAGGTGGAGAAGGAGCTTTTTGCTCTAAAGCCCATGAACTGCCCAGGACACTGGTATCAACAGCTTGGAGTTTCTGTTAAAGATTTTCATATGCTCCAATTAGTCCTAGATTGCTTTAACTCTTTCAAAAGAATTTTTGTTAAGAAACGAATTATGTAATCAGAAGAATATTTACAATATTATTGTTGTATTATAATATCTTCTGTGACCAGTTAGATCCCCAGATCTGTACACGTTTTGGAGTGATACTGTGGGGTGATAGCAGTGAGGAAGGCAGGTTGTAAAGCAGAGAGATTGACTGTGGGATATAGTGAATTCTCTAGATTTTTCTTTCATGTTTTTCTTTTTCTTTTTTTTTTTTTTAAAGGGAGTGGTATGTCATGCCTGTAATCCTAGCTGCTTTGGAGTTTGAACTGGGAGGATCCTGAGTGCAAGGCCAACCTAGCCAAATAATAAGCAGTTTCTCAAAAAAAAAAAGAAAAAGAAATGTATTCTTTCCAAAACTATGGCTAATAATGAATTAATATCCTTGGACTGTCTTCCTTCCCTTGAGGCCGCTCTACTTTCTGCTCTTGAAAGATGGATAAAGAGCCGTATCTGGAAAGCCTTGGCAGTGTGCTTGCACCTTGGTAGCTCCGTGTTCGCAGCTCCTGATAGGCCCGTGGGGCGAGGAAGTGAGAAGAAACTTAGTGAAGAAACTGGGTTATATGTGTCAGAGTGTCAGAGTTGCCTGAGTTCATTCTTAGTTTTTCTAGGGTCCGAAGCATCTACTGACTAACACGAAAACTAAAGCACTCTGGGGTCTGATCAGAGACCAAATCTGCGGCCAACGTTCTTTTTAATGGTACCGAGGGTTAAACCCAGGACCTTCACACTGAAGTACATCCCCAGCTGTTTTTAAAATTGTTTAAATTTTGGATGGAGTCTCAGTAAGTTGCTCAATTGCCCAAGCTGGGCTCAAACTTGCAGTCCTTCTACCTCAGTCTCACAGAGTACTGGGATTACATAGGCATGCACCACCACTTCTGGCTTTTTTGTTTTAAAGGCAGTCCTTTTATTAGTGGAAATACCGAATATAACAATTTGACTCCAGGTTTACATGGAATACATTTTTTATTTTCTCTTAGCTATGGTTGATTGTGTTACCATTTGCCTTTTTATTCATGCAGTTGCTTTTACTGATATATGAAGCCCAGGATTTGACAAATGTTGCTTGTACAGCTAGAATCAGTGATTTTTCTTTTGATAGCTTTTCTTGTAATTAAATATAGTAGAAAGGGCTTTATTGTAATTTTTAGTTTTTGGTGCTGGGTTGAATCTAAGGTCCCTCATATACTAGGTAATCACTCTACATTAGGCTGCCTCCCAACCTGCTTGTGAAATGAAATATCAGTGGACATTTTTTTTTTAATTCAGCCTTATGTTCGATCATCGACCGAGATCCTGGCGAGAGTTGCCTCTCCGGTTAGCCGATTTTGGGGTACTGCATAGGAATGAGCTGTCGGGAGCACTGACAGGACTCACCCGGGTACGAAGGTTCCAGCAGGATGATGCACATATATTCTGTGCCATGGAGCAGGTATGAGACCCTGTGCGTGAAAATACTTTGAAAGAAATGTGAAATAAGTAAGGAAAGCTGGGTATGGAGGCGCACGCTTTTAGTCCCAGCTCTCTTGAGAGGCTGGGGTGGCAAAAGGGTCACAAGTTTGAGCTGAACTTGGGCAAGTTAGTGACTTACTGACACTGTCTCAAAATAAAAATGGGCTGGGGATATAGCTTAGTGCAGAGCCCTGAGTCCAATCTCCAGTACCACAAGAATAGCCAAGCAAAAAAACTAAACAGCAAGTGAAAACAACCACTATTTCTTTTCTGTGCATGTGTTTTTTGTTTTTTAAGATCGAAGCTGAGATAAAAGGCTGTTTGGACTTTCTGCATACAGTATATGACGTATTTGGATTTTCTTTTAAACTGAACCTTTCTACTCGCCCAGAAAAATTCCTTGGAGATATTGAAATATGGAACCAAGCTGAGAAAGTAAGTGGTAGTTTTAGTGTGGATACTTTTAGACTTGTTTTCTTGTTCTGCTTTGTAAGTGGATAAAAACAAAAGAAACTTAGAAATAGTTGCTGTTAGAGTAAGCTCTTTTTCTTTGGTGTGGTTTTAGGGTATTACAGTATTTTAGAATTGGTTAAATGTTCTAGGGTTTTTTTCCAGTTATCAAATTGCAAGCTTTAAAGGAGGTTTGTTTGAAAGTATTTTTAGGTAGACAGTTACCTAAAGAGAGAATAGTGATCCATGAAATTAATTATAATAGCTTTAGTCTCAGAGTACATTGGAAGGAGGAAAGTTGCAGTTAAGTAAAAATACATATCATTTTGCTCTGTCCTTAGCAACTTGAAAACAGTCTGAATGAATTTGGTCAAAAGTGGGAGTTAAATCCTGGCGATGGAGCTTTCTATGGTCCGAAGGTCAGTGCCAGAGTACTTGTGGGTAATGTGATTTTCATTTGTAAGTGAAAAGAGGTTACCTTAAAGTCAGTTGGGGGCAGCCCAGCAGTTACAGCAGTGTGTAATAGCCCAGTCTCTGCGTTGCAGATTGACATACAGATAAAAGATGCCATCGGTCGCTACCACCAGTGTGCAACAGTCCAGCTGGATTTTCAGTTGCCTATCAGGTTCAATCTGACTTTCGTGAGGTAAGTTTCTGGTATTTCCTTTGAATGTGCTTCTCCAGGAATATGTAAGTGCAGGTTGTATATATTATATATAACAAGCCAAAATAAATTCTTTTTCTTTTTAGCCATGATGGTGATGATAAGAAGAGGCCAGTGATTATTCATCGAGCCATCTTGGGATCTGTGGAAAGAATGATTGCTATCCTCACTGAAAACTATGGGGGCAAATGGTAGTTTTTCTCTTTTTTTTCTTTTAATTTGTTTCTGATTAATATAAACTGGCTAACAGAAATGTCTGCTGTCTGATACAAATGTGAAATGGGATGGGAAAATGAGTCTGATTGATCACTTCTAATTAATGACAAGTGCTCACTGAAAAATAAGGAATTATAATCTAAACTCAGCTTCTTTAGCATTAGGAATACCTGGGCATTCTAGGCATGGTGCTTTACACCTGTAATCCCAGTATTTGAGAGGCTGAGACAGGAAGATCACAAGTTTCAGCCTACCCCAGATAACTTAGTAAGACCCTATCTCAAAATTTATTTTTAAAAATGGCTGGGGCTATAGCTCAATTTGAAGGCCTCAGCACTACAAAAGGAAAAGAAGAGAAAGCGGGGATGGGGGCGAAGAACACTTGCCTGGGTGACGTGTCTGTAGCACATTGCTAAAATGCCAGCAACTTGTGGGGCTGGGTAAATTTGGTAAATTTGGTAAATTTGCCAGCTGGGTGACATAATGTAAGTCCCTATCTCAAAGTAAGAATTTTTTAAAAAGATGGAAATGTAGCTCAGTGGTAGTATTAACCTAGCATGTATGAGGCTCTGGTTCAATTCCCGGTACTGCAAAAAGAGAATACTTATTGGGGGGTTGGGAATGTAGTAGTAGCTTCGCTGTGAGTTCAGTCAAGAAAAGAAAATAGAAAATCAGGTGCTTGTTACTAGTAACTTTTCATATCAGAATTTGATTTGTTTGAATGTCATAACTACTTTCAAATTAGCAATTTTTATCCAGTAAGAAGCATATAGAATTTTTATTGCTTTTGAAATAATATTTTGGGAGGATTTTTATGGCTTTTTTTGTCTGATAAATGAGTATGTTTTTTATTTACCTTGTTCAGCTTTGTTGATCAGCAGTAAGCAAGTAAGTGAGCAGTAAGTTTTCTTTCAGAAAAGTCATTTTTTTAAATTGAAAGACAAAATTAAATATGCCAAGCTGATCAATGTGTTGTAACTTATATCTTTTTTGGCAGGGGACTCACTATATAGTGCAGCCTGGCCTTCAACTCACAGGGATCCTCCTGCCTCAGCCTCCCAAGTGCTGAGATTACAGGCATGCCCAACTACATATTGTAACTCATTTCTGTAATGCTGTTTTTTTTATTGGCAAGATAATACATAGCTTCTATTTTATTTTTTAGGTAGTTTTGTCTGGGCTTATGCTATTTAAAGTACCACAAGGTTATCAAACACCTACTTGTAGTCTGCAAAAAAATGTACTTACATGCTTATTTACTTAGAGAGTATGCAGGATTGAACCCAGGATCTTTACACTGGACTACATCCATATCCACAGCCTTTTTTTTGGAGACAGAGTCTTAGTAAGTTATTCAGTTGTCCAGGCTGGGCTCAAATTTGTGATCCTCCTTCAGCTACCCAAAGAGCTGGGATTATAGACGTGCACCACCACACCCAGTTTAGAGTTCAATTTTGTGTTGGTGGGAAACACCAAGTGTAAAACGTTATAAATTGGCTAAATCTTACACCGTACTGTCATTTCAGTATTATTTGAATTTTTAAATTCAGACATGAAGGGAAGTTTTTCAGATTTGTTAATAAAATAATCCTTTTCAGTTGTATTTCACACAGTCAAATAAAATATGAGGAACATTCTCTGCATAGCATCTAGAGAAGTAGGGAAGTCCTTAGCTAGTTTTTCTGCCAAACCTGTGGAAGATTGGAAAAGGCCTACAGTTGGGGTAGAATTCGGTGGCTCTTCAGCTCTTTTGCCTGGTAACAGCACAGCTGAACGTGGAAGAACGGTGGGGAGAAACGTGAGCCTGGCGTCTTCACCGTCAGGAGGGCCTGACACTTGGGGTGCTCCAAAGGCAGGGTGATAGTGGAGTGGACTTGTTTTCAGTTTTGTGGTGCTGGGTTTTGAACCTCCACCTTGCAAACGCTAGACAAATGTTTACCAGTGAGCTGCATCCCGAGCCATAGGTTTTTGTTTGGTTTGGTTTTGCTGTAAGTAGTGAAAATTTACTTTTACCAAGTACCTTCATCACCAGTTATTATCAGTTGTAGTTTGCTGAATCCTACTGAAAGGATCTTGAATAAACAGGATGCTATATGTATCGTTCCTCCCCATGAAGAGTAAATAATAAAATCTTTATCAGTATGTGCAGTTAAGTTTGCCAGCTCCTCTGACAGCCAGGACATGGTGTTTTGTTACGTGATGTACTGAAGCGTGAGGCTTCATCTCTACCGTCAGTGTGCTTTGCTGCTTGCTTGGCAACACAAAGCTTAGCTACAGATTTTCCTTAGCACTAGTTTTCTTCTTCTGAGTCTCTTCCCTTAATCTTCAGTGGATAGTTTAGAAAAACAAACAAACTAAAGCTTTGAAAGTAACCCTTGTTTCAGGAAAACATACTAAAGAAGTGTGCCCCATTTGATTATTGTATGGACCCAAATATTTAAAAATAAAATATTTTTATTTTGTTCTTAAGGCCTTTCTGGCTGTCTCCTCGTCAGGTAATGGTAGTTCCAGTAGGACCAACATGTGATGAATATGCCCAAAAGGTAATCCTTAAATATAACCTTCCTATTAAATTTCTGTTATATGTTTCAGATCTCATAGCTGTTCTTGGTAAATCGAGCTGCTTGTGACATGGCAGTGTATTACTCTGTATTTTTCACCTGTGATAAGTCTGAAGGGATTCTATTACTTTTCAAAATCGTTCTATGATTACAACACATTTAGATCATGTTTTCTATACACTTGTGTATCTTACTATTATTTTTAAAAACCAAACCAGCAAATACCAAGTGCTTCAGTATGATATAATGTAAATGTAAAAAAAAGTTTAAGCTATGCTATGACACAGTAATTTTGCTTCATTTTTAATGCCAAATTTCTGTTTTTTGACTATTTTTTCAGCTTAATATCAAGAATACTCCTCCCTGCCATAAGACTAACTTACTAGCAAATCTATAAATAATGATAATCACCATTTATTCATACCTTGAAGACTAGAACACCATGTTCTATTTAGTATAGTAATTCCATTCTAAAGAATTCAGATGATTAAGTTAATCATTGAACAGTACTTTAACATCAAAATCATCATTCTAGAGCATCAATAAATTTTTCTCATATTTACTGTCTTTAAGAAATAAATGAATAAAACCAGTTGGTAATAAACAAACTACAGTATTCAGACAAACTATTCCTGTTACTGCATATGGTAGTTTTATATGGAGGCTGTTTATCTATTTCCTGGCAACCTTATAAAAGACTCCATTTATTTGTAAAAGGATTTCTTCCCTTTGTGCTATGTTGTTCAACTGATTAATTTGATTGAATTCTGATTTTTAAAAATCTTCTAAAGCAATTATCTCTCAAAAGCAAAATATATTTTTTATCCAGATCTCAAATTAATGTTATAAATTTATGTATACTTAAAAGCATTTCTTTTCAGTTGTCTGCATGATTATCCAAACCTGTTAGCTCAGCGGCACAGTGCCTGCCTGGCAAGTGCCAGGTCCTGAGTTCGATTCTCGGTACCAGAAAAAAAAAAAAACCAATCTGAATTCTGTGTCTGTTTAATAGGTACGGCAACAATTCCATGATGCTAAATTCATGGCAGACAGTGATCTGGATCCAGGCTGTACACTAAACAAGAAGATCAGAAATGCACAGTTAGCGCAGTATAACTTCATCCTCGGTAAGAAAGTCAATTTTCCAAACCTGTGAAAACAACCTGCTGAAATCTTGAGACTTAAGTTTAAGTGAATTATGCTCAAGCAAGTTGGCTGGATTGAGTGGTTCCATTCACGCAGTAGTTGTGTATACTGCAGATTGGTACCTTTTTTTGTTTAATGATGGATGTTTGAAGTCAGTTGCTCAGCAGTATATGGTCACTTGTGTATTTTAATGTGTCTGCAGCTATAGGGTAGCTCACGAATGCTGGGATCATTTCTCTTTGGATGTGCAAAGTGAATCCTTCCATGCCTTTGGATTCTCACAAAGCTTTGCGCTCTCTGTTTTAGTTGTTGGTGAAAAAGAGAAGGCCAGTGGCACTGTTAATATCCGTACAAGAGACAATAAGGTTCATGGAGAGCGTACTGTTTCGGAAACCCTCGAACGCCTGCAGCAGCTCAAGCGGTCCCGAAGTAAACAGGCAGAAGAAGAATTTTAAACCTTTGCCCAGCGCACAGACTTGCTCAGTGGAAAAGGACGAGCCACGTTTCTGTAACATTGAGCTTATATTCTGGACAAAATCATTTTATACTGAATTTGGAATAGCTCAGCACTCTGCACACAGATGACTGAGCAGCCAACCTGTTTTAACCTAGACACATTTTAGATAGTGTGCATTTGATGGAGTTAATTAAAAGAACCATTATGATTATCTTACTCAGTAAATCTCTGAGCGATGGAAATAAAGCATTCAGGATGCTTTTAGTAGCAGCACTGTTTATAAATTCAATAAGTTGAAGAATAAAAATTTTCCAGGTTTGATTAAGGTAAAAGGAAAACTAGAATTGGATTATACTGTAAAAATAAAGGGCAAAGTAACATAAGTTTCTGTTTTTGTTTTTTGGGCTTTTTGTTGTTTGTTTTTGCGACAGGATCTCACCGTGTGGCCCATGCTGGTTTTGAACTCATGCTGATCTTCCTGCCTAAGCCCCTCGAGTGCTGGGATGGCAGGCACGCACCACCATGCCTGACGACTGTAAGTTTCAGGATGCTCTGTATTGCACATATGCACACATGCACTTGAAACAAATTTTGCACGTCAGTAGTTTTTACAACAAATATGATGTAAGGTGGATGGATGGGACAAATCTAATGGGTATAGTTCTCAAACTGGGGTGTGAGTTAGGTGCTAGCTTCTTAGTTGTAGGATAAATATTTTGGAGTGTCACTTTCTCTTTGGATAGAAATCTTTTAGAACAATTAATAACCATGAATCTAATACAGAGTAGACTTACACAAATTTTTAACATAAAGGATGTGTCTTCAAAGACAACTCTGTTCATGGCTGTCTATTCTGGGCCATAAATTCTCTTGTACAGATTTCCTGATTTCTCAAGAGAATATTTTCCAGTTTTTCTACCAGTAAATGGTGATTGGAGGAGTGCCACAAAGTAGGAATTTCTTATGTAGATATATATCAGTTCCTCTGTAATATAATCATTTTTAGAAATTTAACACCTTTCAGTTTTGTAATAACCTTAAATTTCATGTTCTCAAGGGTCACTTCAAGGAGAAATTATTCTGCATAGATGAGTCCTTAATAAAGGAGATAAGATCTTTAATCACAGTTTTAATGAACTTCTTAATTAAGCTTTACTTCTTAAGGCGTCAAGACAGCATGTGATAGGTTTGCAATTTTTATTGCAAAACAAAATTCAAACCAGTTGTTGCATTCATGATACCAATGTTTTTATTCATTTTGAAAATGTATTTTTTATTTCTTTAAAATAGAAAGTATTTTAGTTTGGGTTTTTCTTCAAATCCAGAGGAGGAGATATTGGGAAGCTGAGGCAGGAGAATTGTTACAGTTTCAAGGCCAGCTACGTAGTTCTATGGATTACATAGTGAAACGCCTTCTCAAAAATTAAATAATTATACAATCTTTTTTTTTTCTTCAGTGCTGGGGATCAAACCTAGGGCCTCATGCATGCTAGGCAAGCCCTGTACCAGTGAGCTATACCCTAAGCCTTACAGAATCTTTTTGAATGATTTTGATAATAAATAGTTGAAAGACCAGCTGTGGCTTAGATTTTGTTTTTAGAACACATTTCACTTAAAGCAACAAATGACATGCGATTAATAATTTTCCTTGGAACATTTACAGAAGCTTTATAAGTCTTCCACAACAATGTAAAAACGTAATGAGGTTGGCAAGACAGAATCACCTACTTCTCTTAGGCCTCACATTAGAATCGTGTATGTGAGGACCACTAGGGGCCCTTGAATTGTAGGCGCATCCCATCAAGTGTTTATGGAGTGTTATTGTCCTGTTTCATGGGAGACAAGAGACTTCTCTTTACTGTTGAATGCACTGTTTAGTTATGGCACAGAACCGGAAAAATTGAGTAATTAGCCTTTGTTGAACATTTAATCTCAGATGCACAGTTTCTTAAGTAGAATAATTGAGAATAATAACATAAGAGCAAGTGCCTTGTGACAATAAATTTTGTGAGGTTAAAAGATAGAATTCTAACCACATCGTGAAGGAAAAGATGGCAAGGGCAGGGAACTTGGGAAATAATTTCAAGTGTAAGGAAGGGTGAAGATTCTGAGCAGTACTGAGCACTGGTTGAAGGTATAAGTAAGTGTAACCAGCTGTGAGGGTATAGGCCTCTGAACCCAGCATTCTGGGAAGCTGAGAAGCTGAAGCAAGACGATTACAAGCTTAAGCCCAACTTGGGCAGTGTAGTGACTTAGGGAGACCTTGCCTCAGAAAAAGGAGGGCAGGGGCAGAAATATAGCTCAGTATTCAGGCTTTGGGTTCAAACTGTAGTATTGCAGGGGTAAAAGAAGGTATGTGAAAAGATTGAAGTTAAGCTGGAATATTAAATTTAGACTCACACCCTCCAGCAACCTTGTGTGGCCCATAAATCTTGGGTCCCTTCCTTGCCTTTAGTTCAGCAATTAACACATGTTTCTTCAGGACCACTGTCCCATGACTACTAGACAAGTGCTTCTCAAATTAAAACGCGCATGGGAAATGGTGTTAAAGTGTGTTCCATAGGTTTGGGTTGAGTCTCCAGTCTCCCATCTGCTGGATCTACTGTGATGCATTTATAAGTAGAAAGCTCTTATTTTCCATTCTAACGACCATTATTCTCTGTCTTAAGCAAGAAAAACTCAAATATTGATTTTTTTTTAAAAAGGGCTTAGAAAGGAAATCAAGCTCTAGTCCTCTGGACCTCACTAAACTCTCACTTCCCAACGGTGATTTTAGTCTTGTGTGTGTGTGTGTGTGTGTGTCTTACTTTTTCTAAATATTGCTATCCAAGGTCTCTGAGACCCCTTCTGTTAACTCTTGATTTCGGAAAACAAGGACTTCGTTTCGTGTCCTTTTCTCGTGTCCTAGCTCAGCTTTTTGTTAAGTGTATGTTACCTCTTCGTTATGTCCATAAATGTTTCAATGAGCCACACAGTATTTTGTGGTGACATTCTTTCCAGTTCAGCTTTTTCTGTGATTGCATTAATAATTAGTCCCTTTTTTCTCTTTGGTACCGGGAATTGAACTCAGGACCTGGCGCTTGCCAGGGAGGCACTTTTTTTTTCCTTTCATTACTATTTGTCCAAGAGTCAAACCTGACAGTTAAGTATTTCCACTTTCTTCCTGAGACAAATCCTGCCCCAAATCATCCAGTCTCATGCTTCATTCTAGGCTCATGACCACCCTCAGCCCTCATCTCTTCTCTTTGGGCCTCTGTGTGTGTGTCTGTGTGTCTGTGTGTGTTGCGGGGGAGGTATTGTGTTGAGATGGGGTTTTGCAATGGAGCTCAGGCTAGCTTTGAATTCGTGATCCTCCTTTCTCAGTCTCCCAAGTGCTGGGGTTTACAGGCCTGGTGGGTCCCTTTCCTGAGTCCTATGTATTTTAGCTTGGTCCACTGCTCCATGTTGGTTGACCAGTAGCTTCTCAAAGATGCATGGGGAAATTTTTAAACACTTAGCCCATGTAAATCTACCTTGATAGGTATAGAATTTTTGATTGAAAATATTCTTTTCAGAATTTGGAAGGCATTTCTCCCATTCTCCTCTGCTTTCTAGTGTATTTGATAGAATTCATTACTATTCGTATTCTATGTCACCTATCTTTTATTTTTCTCTGAAAGGTGAAGATCTCTTCAGTCTGTTGTCCTGAGATATCATGACGACTGTCAGCCTTTTGCCTTCCATGGTGGTGAGCAGTTCTGGAGACTTGCATCCTTTAGTTCTACGAAATGTCTTTTCTGTGAAATCTTTGATGGTTTCCTCCCCTAACTTACTTTACCCTCCCCTTTAGTGGGCCTTCCATTGTTTAGATGTTCTGTTTTATGAAAGAGTACCTTAACTTTCTCTTCCCATTCATTCTATTGTGTCTTTAAAAAACAGAGCCTGGTGTGATGGTGCTTGCCTATAATCCTAGCTACTCAGGAGGCTGAAGCAGGAGGATCATAAATTTGAGGCCAGCCTAAGAAACTTAGCAAAATTCCGTCTCCAGCCCCTTCCTGTATCTTCATTTTGAGATCATTTTTGGGTTACTAGTGTTGAAAATCCTCTGCCACTTGTTGAGATTCTAAACTACTGTTGGATTCTAAACTTTAGTCTCTTTTTTGCGGGGGAGGGATTTTTTGTGTGTTTGTTAAGACAAGCTCTTGCTAAATTGTCCAGGCTGGCCTTGAACTCATGAACTCATGCACTCAGTGTTGTATTTTAGGTTTGTGCCCCATGGCCAGCCAGTGTAGTCTTTTAATTCTTGTTTTACTTCAGAGCATCTCCCACCCTTGGCTCAATTTGCTTCTCATCTTCATTAAGCCTTGACTTCCATCGTAAGTCATTTGTAGATTTCATTTTCTAACACTCCATTTCCATGTATCATCATTTTCTTCGATTCAGCGAACAAACATTCAGCTTTTCTCCAATCCAACTGCTAAGTGATGGACCCTATTAAAGAAAAAAGTACTGTACAGAAATTGCAATAATTGGAGCCACTTTCAATTCATTATTTCACCCTCGGTTGCACCATGATTTATTTTCTCTACATCACTCCCAGATGGCCTACAGAAAGCACATGACTGTAATTTCCAAATGCCACTTCGCACTTGGTATTCCCTCCACTCTCAGCAGACCACCAGCTCTCCTACTTCATTAAATCTAGAAACCTATACTGGTGCTTCCCTCCAGTCCTTTAGGGAGTGAGGCCTTCCTCCTTTTAAGGCCAACCATTCAGTCTGAGATTTGGAGCAGGATGGTTGGTTGATGTTCAGCTTTGCAACTTACCAATTGTGTAACCTTAGACAAATTTGTTTAATTTCTCTGAGCCTCTTTTCTTACCCATAAAATGTTGATAGTATGTGTTTCATTGAGTTGTTATGAGAAGTCATTGGATTTTATGCTTTGTGTAAGAAAAATAATGCTGTTCTCATTTGCTCCACTCTCTTGCTTCATCATATATCTCCACTGTATCATCAACTTTATCTTTAGCTTCTCAACCTAAAAGTACCACCATCTTTTCTATTGTATTATGTTCTGTGTCCCTTGGTTTTCTGCTTCACCTCCCACTGAACCATACGAGAAAGTGCTTGCCAAAGACCAAAATGATCCTCTGTTCGTGTTGCATTGGACAGCTCTAACATAATTGAGGTACTCAGGGAAACCAAACCAATCAAACCCTGGGATCCAGCTTGGAACTGGTGTATGAGGCTGTGGGCACATGATCCCTGCCATGTGGAGTCTGCAGTCACCTAGCAAGGGAAGGAAATAAAACATGCAATTCTGAGGAATGGTTTGCAGAAAGGTTGGGTATGAAGGAAGCCGACGGAGTCTGCAGGATGGCGCATGGAAGGCTGTGGGGGTAGAAGAGCACAGATTAAAGCGGCGTAGAGAAAGGAAGAAGTGGCTGGGTTGGAGGGGGTGTCGCGGGGGAGGTGGTAGGGAAAAGGAGGCAGCATTGATGTGAAATAGAGTTTCTACATCTAAGGGAATGTATACAAAGTTGAGTGAATGAAGGAAAGTAGAAAATTAGATCAATTTAGAATAGCCCCTGTGAAGTGATTTCTGTGTTGTCTTTGAAAGTATGAACTCATATGCTTTCTGTGGGCTTCCGGAGATGTTCAGTCTGGGATGCTTAGGTAAAGCAGGTGTCTCAAACTCTCTTGGAGTTTTTCATTTCTCAGAGTACATAATGGGTCTCGAGTGACAGCAGAACTTTTATCAAGGGAGACTGGTCCGCAGCTGCTATGTAAAGGAACTTACTTGGGAAAGCCTGGCGTAGGCATGCAGTTGTGAAAAATTGAAGGCTGTTCTACTTCCAGGCAGCAGAGGGCAGCCTTGCCCTTCTTTTTCAGACTGATACCGTGTCAGACAAGGTTGAGTTAAATCAATTAAAATAAACTTACAGTTAGTTTGAACTTCACGGGTAGATTTTTCGGTTTCCACCATGACTCACTGCAAGCCTATCTCTTTTATGACAGAAAAATAGCCCTTAAAATTGTTTAAATGAGGTGCCCATTGGTGCTAAAACGAACTCATGGAAATATCTTCCTCACTTATCCAGTCACTGAGGAAGGGTAGTAGGATCCAGCAGCATTATTTGATCAC